TTCTTGAGTAAAGGTAGGTGCTACAATCTGCTCCCCATCATTTGCACCATTAGCAGCTTCAACCTTCTTCTGGGCTGACTTACTTTCTTGAGGATGTTTAGTTTTAGTTCCTTGAAAGTTTTCAGGAAATCCTATGATTTCAAAGCAGTTCTCCTTAGTATGTCCTCTTTCGTGACAGTGTGTACATTTCAAGGAGGGATTCCCATGTCCACATCCTCGATTACCACGTCCTTTCCTTCTACCCATAACCATAGCACTATCTTCAATCAGTTAAGGCTTATTTACTCCAACTGTATTCTTTTGTGCTTCATCTTCCATGATCATGCTATAAGCTTGGTTGACTGTTGGTAGTGGAGTCATTAAGAGGATCTGTGATCTGGCCTGGCTATAAGAATCACTAAGCCCCATCAAAAATTGTAGTAAATGTTGCCTAGCTATATACTTGTAGGAATGTATCACAACTAAAGCATATTGTTCCTCCCAGAGCTCTTTAAGCTTGGTAAAATAACTAGAAATGGAAAGAGACACCTGGGTAAAAGAATTAATTTCTCAGTGAATGGAGAAAATGTGTGAACTTGTAACCTTATCAAATCATTCCTTCAAGTCAATCCATACAAGATGTGCACTTTGAGAGAAGGCAATTCCATTGGCTATTTCTTTCGAGACAAAGCTCAACAGCCAAGACAGCATAACAGTGTTACAACGCTCCCACTGGTTGTGTAGAGAAGGATCTTACAATTCTTTCAAGTAAGACCCATCGACTATGCCCAATTTGTGTCTACCAAGAAGAGCAATCCGCATCTCATGACTCCAGATAGGGTAGTTCTCTAGTCCGGTGAGTACGTGTAGAACGAGCACCGTCGCCTAAGTGTCTAAAGGATGTAAATATAGCGGATGGTAAAGTCAATCATCACAGCCACCGACCCATCTTTTGGGTTGCCATTCTTCTCATTGTTCCACATGCTTTTAGGTTTTTGGCCTTGTAAGAGACAGGTAGGGTTTAGAGAAGACAAGAGAAGAGGATGAGCAATTTATAAAGATGACAGATTATACAAAGAATGCTGCGTTAGAGCTACAAGGGGAAGACACAGTATGTTTAAAGATTGGGCTTCTGTGCTTATTCACTTCTTGAAGTCATGGCCCAATTCTTGATAAACTATCAAAACCTAAAAGATGCATCCAAAGATCAAGAATTAGCACAAGTCCTGGCTCTAGACACCATGATGAAAATAGTATATCTACAAATAACACTATAGAGTGAATGCAATATTCAAAAATGAATAATGCTATTTTGCATTAAACCAAATGGATACAAATTATTTATACAAATGAATTTGAGGCAAAATACAATAATACCTTCAATAACTAATAACAACATAAATCAATAAATAATATGAGACCATTACATATCTTCAATATAGTCGTACAAGTAGATATATGAAGGATCACTTTCTGATCATCATTTAGCTCTAAAAGAAGAAAAAAAGAAAAAGAAAAAGAAAAGGAATGAAAAACATGTTCCAACATTATCGTATCATGTTAGTATTCTACAAATTTGAAAATGGGGCTGAATATGAATGGAATACCGCTGGTGATCCATGCAAGGCTCAACTAGAAAAGTCAACTGCAGAATGTAGTTGTTCATGTCTCCTGACCTGCGATTCATGGCTGGTTGATAACACTTTCATTGGGAAACGTCAGATGTATAAGTATAAATACTATTCTACTATTTGGATGCACAGGGATTTGGATTTAGATTTTGAGCTAAATCCATTATTTAAATAATTGAAAATTTTGAATTTGACCCAAATTCAAATCCAAATTTTACCTCAATTTCTTTGTAATTTTAAATCTTTTCTAAATCCTTAGTATTTCAAATTTTACCTCAATTTCTTTGTAATTTGACTGGCTTACCAGCAGTGCTAAACATAACCAGATTGATAACAGTGACCAGGGGGACCATCGACATCTCCGATTGAGACTAGATTGTGTTAAATAGGCTGACACTCAAGAGGGGGTAAATTAGATAAGACTACAAATTTCTTAAAAGCTTAAAGAGTGAAAAGACTTGAGCAAGAAGGAAAGAGATAATACACACAAGATTTATCCTGGTTTAACCCAAACTTAGCCTACGTCCAGTTTTCAAAATCACACTTGAGATTTCTAACTAAACTCACAATCTTCAATGGATACTTACTACCACAGTATAACTCTTAAAACTTTACTTGTCTTAACTCAATAATAAACTATGCTACAATCCAGCAAGTTGTTACAATCACTTGAAAAATATTTTTTTCAAGATTTCAATTGAAGAATAAAACTTTCACAGAAAAACTCTCTTGAAGAGTAGATAGATTACGAATGAAAGTTATAAACTTGTGAGAGCTTTTTCACAAACTTTATCAAAAATGATAAATGAATGCCAAACATTTTTGCACAATTTGAAAGCTTTTTAGAATGCTCAAATAATAAATAGTTTGTTCAAAAGATCAAAATCTCATTTTAGACTTAAATTATATCACATATATAGTTTTGGCAATTGACAGATATTAGAACAGTGTTTCTGGTCATTAGTGACATGCCTTGCATGCAACTAGACATTTCACGCATGAAATAGAGCTATCCAAGCTCCGAACATGTATATGTGACAATTTAAGTGTAAACCTCAGGGTGCCTCAAGCGTGTTTTAGAAGGTAAGAATATACAACTTATTCTGTGTGACAAAACTCGTGTGTGACCTCAGGTTCTCACACTTGATTTGGTTGATAAAATGCCAAAGCCAAATTTGTGTGACAAAAGTTGCATGGAACTAACAGACTATCATGCATGGAATGACTTATTACAAGCCCAAACTATTCGAGAAGACAAATCACGTGTGGAACACTACAATATTCACACATGAAATGGAAAGTTGCAAAACTTAAACCGTTCTGTAAGTCATATCACGTGTGGGACCATTATGTACCCAAGCAAAGAATGCAAGATCAAAAGGATTTAAAACAATAATGATAGATCACTCAAGTGTATAATGTTGAAACAAGCTTAGAATAGCTTAAGACTCAATTTTGGAAAAATGTGTTCAAATGACTTGATGATATATTACACGTGGTTACCTTCTATTTCACATATGGAATGGCACTCTACAATATACAATGGAACACAAGATGACATTTCAAGCGTGCGTACCCAAGGTTAGCTTGTGTCAAATGGAGCACAGAAGTAATGCCAAAGCATCACACAACTACAAGTAACAAATCACGCTTGGATCACTCCTGATTCAGGCATGAAATGTCAATTGGTGTGCCTAACATGAAAAATCATACATGCAAACAATCTAAATCACGCGTGAATCATCAGATAGTGAAAAGCTTAACTTCTATTATCCAATACAAGCTAAAATGACATAACACACAAGCTTGAATGCACTAAGATGCACAAATGAGAGCTATGAGAAAAGATAATGCATTCATTTTAATGATTATAATATATGGTTAAGCTCTCAAAGTTTTCACATTAAATTTAAGAGAATTAAATAACTTATCCTATAAATCTTTATCTTCTCTTAATTTTTCATGCTCGTGAGGTTTTGTCTTCATCCATGATTCTTTATGTATTTGCACACATAACAAATACCTCTTTTTTTAGTTTTGTAATCATCAAAATATATGATTCACAGACTACCGACTCTAACTTTCATCTGGACTGAACTATTGACACCAATTGAGACAGGACTACTGGCGTTGACCAAGACAAGACCGCCAGAGCTAACCTAGAGTGGGCAGCCACTTGCAACCAAAATTAGATGGCTAGATCCCATCATGACCTAGACCAATGATTTTGATTAAGACTGAATTAGTGACCTCAACTAGGATCGAACCATTATCGTTAACCAAGACAAGACCGAAATCCATAAGATGACCAAGATCGAACAGCTAACTTCCATAACGACTGGACCTCTAGCACTAACCAAACTTTTGTCTTAAACTTGTCCAATTCCAGTAGACGCCGACAATCCAGTCTAGTCCCGATAAAAGTCGACCATTAAATTGTTGACTTTGACAAGGATCAGACCACCAACGTTGTCCAAAGTTTTTAAATTCAAACGTAAAATTTAAAATTTGGAATTTTACTTAAGATCCAAATAAATGATTTTAATATTATAATTTAAAATTTTATATATCATCCAAACAAAAAAATTAGAATCTCTAAATTTCAAATGTGAGAATTCAAATATGATATTTCAAATCTAAATTTTCAATCCAAATTCAACCATTCAAACGCAACCTTAGGGTTCTTATATCTCTATACATACATAATGCATGCATGCATGCATGCATGTATGTATGTATGTATTGTTAGGATGAAGTTCTACATGATGTTGAGTTTAATAATTAATATAGAATAAAAAAGAAAAACCTATAAACTTTAGGCTTAAAGTTTTAAGTTAATTTGTGATGTCTTTTCTTTATACTTAGGATTTTGAATGTTGTATTTTGCACATATTCAAATAAAGTTAGAATTTATATGTCCTTCCATGTTATTATACATATGATTATTAAACCCAATTTCATTCGAGGTAAGACTTTGCACATCGACTCATGTCATTTAACAATTGGATATCCTAACACACATATTATATTTATCATAAAACTATACAAAGTAAATAAACAAATGATATACATATACATATATAAACAAAATATTGCATGTGTTTTTCAAGATATATGTTCATACACGCAAATGGATTACTTAAGTTGTATTGCTAATTATCAACTATTACGTATGTGAATTCAACAACCAATAATTTAAAGAACGCGCATAGACGAACCAACGTCGATAATTTGTGGAGTAATTAAACGCAACGTGTAAGGATCAAGTTTAAGCTCGTCATACAGTTCTATATATGACTGAAACTAGATGGATTTACGGATATGCCCATGCCATATATAAACCATAAAGTGTTCAAGTTTTCTGAAACCCTTAAGCTGCGTGACCTTAATATCTATTTCTGAGTATTATGGAATCGATGGAGGAATCATGGGAAGGCTGGTTCCAGGATTTGGTAATTCATCAGACCACCATGATTTTAGTAATTCACATAATCCGAGTTTCTGAATACACGTACTTGAATTACTTGACAGGAAATAGCTGGTGACTTCATGAGTTTCGCTTTTGGGGCTGATCATGAATTTGGTAATTCATCCTCACAGGAGAACTTTGATACAGAGACCTTTAACGCCGGCGAAAACGGCGTCATCATCACGAGCAATCCTTCAAGTTCAAAATCTGTGAACGCCCCACATCTCACGGCTTCGAATTCCCATCTGTACGCTCATCATCAAGTCGATTCTGTCTTCATGCTAGAAGACAAGGCTTCTTTTGATGATCCTTTGAAAACGTACTTTGAGAGTCAAAGAAATATTAAAGAAAGAGAGATGTCGTCGGAGGGTAGAAATAGAAATCCTCGAGTACAAGATCACTTAATTGCTGAGAGAATGAGGAGAGGAAAGATCTCGCAGCACTTCATTGCTCTTTCAGCCCTAATTCCTGGCCTCAAAAGGGTTAATCATAAATCATCAGCACATAACTATTTAATTTGTTTATAATCACTCTCAGATTAGCACTCTTTGAATATGTGTGTCTGTGTTTTTTTCAGGCGGACAAGGCGTCTGTGCTGGAGGGAGCTATAAACCACGTGAAGCAGCTTCAAGTGCAAGTTAAAATGCTGGAAGATCAACAGACCAATAAGAAGAAGAAAGCCAGAGAATCTGTGGTGTTTGTGAAGAAATCTCAGCTGATCTCTATGGATGATCATGACCATGTGACAGACATGGCGTTGAATCATTCATCATCGGACACTGAGAACTCCCATGATGTTGCCACCAAATGTAATAGAACAGTAGCAGACGCGGATGTGGAAGCAAGGGTTTCAGACAAGAATGTGTTGATTCGAATCCAATGCGAGAAACAAGAAGGAATAATGGTGAAGATGATGATGGAGATAGAAAAACTTCACTTGTCTATGGTAAATAGCAGTGTCGTGCCGTTCGGGAGATCCATTCTGGACATCACCATCATTGCTGAGGTACTTAATTTTGTCATTAATTAATGTGTAATTTAATTATTAATTAGTTGATGATTAAGAAAACTCAGAAGGGAAATGATACGTCACTTGCTGCCCTATTGAAGAATATAATAATCTAATAATCTGATTTTGGATTCAATCACGTATAATTATTGCAGATGGAGGATGAATTCAACTTGAGCGTGAAAGAGCTCGCTAGAAATCTCAGGGTAGCACTCTTGCGATCAACATAATGTTACGTGTACTACTGGGTGTTTGTATCAATTAGTTAAGGAGTTGATCTATCTTAACTAAAAGTTTCAAATTCAAGCTCTAGAAATACAGTAGTGATTAAATACTCAGTGGCAAGTGTACCCCTCAAAGAGATGCTCAAAAATTACCAATCAGATTAGTCTAGATTAAAGACCTAGGATACCACAAAAAAAAAAAAATTACGCTTACATATTGATAATGCAATTAATGTTACTAGTTAGCTTGGATTGAATGACCAAAAACGGCATTCAATTATTGGATTTGTCATTCACATCTGAAAAATATAGGATTCAATTTGCCTAAAGAAACTTGTGTAGGTTCTAGTAATAACAGTAAATCCAAAATTTATGTTACTTTACAATACTTTCTGTTGTATGATTCTCAAGTTATTTGGGTTTGGATGAGCTTCGTGCATGTTTGCCATCTAATTTTGAATTGCTTCATTTAAACAGAAATTATGAAAAATAATTTGTATATATACATTTGATTTTTCTTCTCGAATCTAATAGTAGATGAATCAAACTATTGACATGAGTGATAAGTTTTCGTCTCATGCTTTAAAATTAATTATTTAAACTGTCAACTATGCGCGCGCGCATATATTGCAAAAAATTATTTGCACTTTTTAAATGTATGCCAACAAGAATATTTTTAATCGATAGTACTAACACATGAATATGTTTTTTCAGTAAGCTGTCTAGCTACCATTAACACAAAAATTTGATATAAGTTGGCTTTAAATTAAAAAAAAAAATGGTGCGGCAATCGATGGAATTGATAGGTCTGTCTTGATTTTCTTGGAAGGATACTATAACTGATTTGGTTATTGAAAACAAATGAAATATAATGAATTGAGTTGATAAGAAATAAAATTGAACTAAAATAAGATTATTGATTGTAAAGATGTTGAAATGATTGGAGGAGGATGTAATCATAGAGTAATAGAAAAGTAGGAACGACAATCTCTATTCTTTTCTCCTTATCACTTCATAACTATCATCATTCTATCATTCATATTTTTCTGTTAATCTATAATTTTATTTTAATTAATTTTATGCTATCTCTAATCCACTCCATTTTATTCTTTGCAACAACCAAGCACCCTGTAAAAGTTTTATACACCCTTAACGTCAAAGATGTGTTTATACCTCACAAGTCTTTCAAATCAACTATGTAATTATTTTTCAAATTATTCTTGCTTTGAGAGAAAACATACACACACACCGACGTACATATTTACATGTGTGGGTATGTAAAGTGTAGTTGTCATAATTAATTTGTTCTCGTATTACAGACTATGTAGATTTACTATATTATTGCAAATATATGGATTTGTTTTGTGTGTTTCAACTTGATATTAAATATGTAATCAGACCTATCAATAATGTTCATTCTAGATTAGCAGCATCTACATCTTTTTGTCCATATTTACATTCTACGCGAATAAGTCAATCAATCTTCAAATCAAGTAAAGATCAAGTTGCCATATTTATAACTCTATTTTAAAAAGCTAATAAAATTTATTTAATGATACATATAGCCTTATTTAAATTCAAACTCATTTACTAATTTATTTGACATTAAATTAACTTGAACTTCATGATTCGGTGCTCCAACCGTACATTAGTAAAAACATAACAAATTAGACTAATAGCGTTAGGATCTTACTAAATAATGCATAACCTAAGTACCTAACCTCGTATGTAATTATATGGCAGTTCTTAGAAATTTTTAAAGTTACAATTGCAATGTTTTTAATTAGTACATGATATAGTGCATGTTTTGAAAAACTGGAATTGACGGAATAATTGCTAACGGCGCGATGGAAAAGTCATGTATTGAATTAGATAATAGAATTTTACTTTCAAACAAAATAAATGTTTCAAATAATGCTTTTCTAAGTCTTGCGCCTATTAAGAATTTAAGAGAGAACCAGAGAAGTGATAATTTCTTAATTATTATAATATAACTCCTATAATCTCCAATGTTAAACATTACTATTTCCATTTCAAATATAAAACATGGTTTTAAAAATATAATATTTCACTTTATATAAGGTATTTTGCCAATTTTTAAGAGCAACTAATGCCTTTTTTTTCCCTAAAATGCTCATAAGAGTATATTAAAACTACTTGCCGATCCGTTCGTCAACATGATCAGTTTCCCATGCATTTAAAAAACGAAAAAATCAGATTAAGTTTAAAATCTTAACTACCTGTTTCTTTAGTAGGTGCGTGTTAGATGAAATTATCTTATGTTAATTGGTAGAATTATGTTTAACAATTAGTGCTATTTTTTTTTCTTGTGGGTCAAATTATTAATTACCAAGTGGATCAACATTTGTTGGTAACTAGTGTTATATTCTTTTCGAATTACTATGAGAGCTCGTATCTAGTTCTCTAATTATCTCTGTATTCTGTACAAACCTGCATTTGCGCGTGTCATTATAGATGATTCAATGCAATGAAAACGAATTCTTTACTGTTAAATGACAGACTTAATGGTAAATAAAATTGCAAATGTAATTGTTATGAAAAAAATAAGAAATACAATTAGCGAAGACTGTAGTGCACTGAACACCCTTTAGGCTTTAATAGTTTAGTGATCGTACAGGAGACTTGATAAACATCTTCCGCGTGAATTTCCCAAGTCAAAGTTGGTGAGATCTGTCAAATACAGTGCCAATTATTGATTATTTCACAAATAATATTTGTGTTTGTGATATATATATATATATATATATATCCTTGTTGATCAATGTGTAACACATAGTTTCTTTTACCCTACTTTCGTGTTGCTCGTTAATTAGAAATCTCAAGGTGGCGCTACTCTTATTATTTTCAAGCGAAAATCGCACATAAGGTCCCCTAAGGAGGATAGTGGCTCTTCAAGCTTAATAAATTCTGATAATGCAATGCAAATCCGAAAGCCTTATGTGCAATTAATTTTAAAGCTGAAAAGACCAAACTACTCCTCTGAACGCATTGATCATGTGTGAAAATCGAGTTACAGGAACTAACGAAAGTTTTCTCTAGCATTCAACCTCCTCTCCCGTAAGACCTCATTCTTGTACTTAATTAAAGCCGTTTTAATTTCTCCAGCGTTGAGAGACACAGGTTGTCATCTTGCTGGTGAATTGAGGTAAAGTGAAGAAGATTGAAGAGACCTGACCCATTACAGTGTTGATGCAACCCGTTTCAGTGACATTATGTAGTGTCGATGGATTCACTTGTGAGAAGATTCAAGATTTATGATCTTACATGTGTGTAAAAGTTGCGATTACTCATCTCTTTGTTGCATGTGAAACCTTGCATCTATCGCGCTGAATATATTGATTCGCGCTGAATCTAAAGTCTGAGCTCTGCACAAGGCGAATGTTGAACTCTTGAGACCTGAAATTGTCAATGAGCCGAAATGAATTTTTTAATATAAAAACTAAAATGTAGTGTTGTAAAAATTCAGATTATAGTTATAAATTCATCAACTGATGAAATTTTGTTTTAGAATGTGTTGAAAGCGAAAGTCACCCTAAGAAAAACTAGAGTATATATTATGAAAACATGAACATTGCTTTGTTGATATAAAATGTTCAACTGTAAATTCATGAAATCTATAAATGTGTATACATATATATTTGTTTATTAGAAATAAGGTTTGTGTAAATTAAAAATTTGAATGGATTAATATAACGTGACCGGTTTCGGTGCTCATCACAATGATGAGTAAGATCTGGACCATCTAGATTTTGATCTGGATGGTCCAGATTTAAAGGATTATTATATATTTTTATTTTTATATTTATTAAAATAAAAATTATAAAAATTATAAAATAATTTTAACAAATTTTTTATTTTTAATATGGCTTAGATTTAATTTAGAGGGTCCAATTTAATACTAAAATTTTTATAATTGATATATATTGACTATCTAGATGTACTCTGCACAGGCCATATTACAGTTAATCTGGCATGTGCAGAGTACATCTGAATAGTCAATATATATCAATTATAAAAATTTTAATATCAAATTAGATCTTCTAAATTAAATCTAGGCTATATTAAAAATAAAAAATTTATTAAAATTATTTTATAATTTTTATAATTTTTATTTTAATAAATATAATATATAATAATCCTTTAAATCTGGACCATCCAGATCAAAATCTAAATGGTTCAGATCTTACCATAGTGATGAGCACCATGGTGCTCGTCACTGTGATGAGCACGAAACTAATCTTTAATACAACTATTGGTTGACGGAAAAAGAGGAATACTGTGTCAATGCAAATTTTGATTTCGGATATGCTATGCAAATTTTGATTTCGGATATGCCAGAAGTGAAAGTCTCTGACTGAGAAAAACTGAATCATATTTTGTGAAAATACTATGAAAACGTATATTATATTAAGAGAGTGTACAGATTAATGTGATAATGGTTAATTAATAAGAGTAATAATGAAAATTAATTTAACTTTATAATAACTTTAATATTTAAATTTGTCTTCTAACAATTTTTAATTTACAAAAAATAATAATTTTGAGTATACTAGAATAATTTTTTTAATTTTAATATTTTTATATCATGCAAATAAAAAAGTTCATGGGCAAAACAACTAGCTAGTTTGTTTAAAATGAATTGTATTCAAACGCGTGCCAGTTCATTTGATGTTGGATCTTAATTACCTTAATCTCATTAACTGATCACGTGATCGATGACCGAATTTCAAGTCTTGTCGTTACTAAGCCTTAAACAAATAATTAATGAAGCTCTACAGCACAAAGTTTCCTATGTAAGACTAATAATTTAATGCTCTCAGACGCGTTCTTGACGGCTTCTCATCTGCAACCTATTGCCAATGAATAGCATTTGTTGGAACATTAAGATATGATTAGTGTTTAATCAGATAGCTAATTGGTATCCCCAAATCTATATAATGGGCCCTTGTCATTGTGTTGAGTAAGGGGATTTAAACCCACCTTCAAAAGAGATTAACAAAGGTCCTCACCTCAAGTTAGCCTCCAAAATGCCTTTGAGTGAAGAATCATTCAAGTGGGTAGATTAATGTTGTAAATCCTTCAAGTGAAGAATCAATTTCATTGTAATGCTGTAATCATCTTCTTCATAAATGTGCATTTTATTTTCTCTGTTCAATTCTTCACTTTCTCAACAGTATTAACATATTTTTTTTATAATTAACAAGAGCTCCCAATAATAATAATATTATTATTATTATTATATAATTGAA